TGTGTGTGTGTGTGTGTGTGTGTGTGTGTGTGTGTGTGTGTGTGTGTGTGTGTGTGTTACCTGGTGGGTGTGGGCTCTAATGGTCGGTCGAGCTGAACGAAGCAGAGCGGTTCAGTGAGGACCTTGGCGGAGAGAGAGAACCTCTCGTATTCTGAAGGAGAGATCAGGTAAAACCCTGCAGAGAAGAACATTTTTTTTATATTAGTGAGTGAAACCATCCTTTTAGTCATACGCTGACCTTTCTGAACATACATAGCTTTCATTTTATGTTGCCTCCACATTTGATTTAATTTTTTCCTGCACTACTTCATGTGTGTGTATATCAGAGACAAAGAGGCAAATGTTATCGTGATGAAAATCTAAAAGCAAAAAATAATAATGAAAGAAATCCCACTCTGCTCTTTAGGTGTCTTGAAATAACTTCTTTCACTTTAAATTCAAGCATATTCTTCTCACCCTGTCCATTCCTGGTAAAGACACATGATGCAATGCCACTGATGTCTTCCTTACGGATGCAGTCATAACGCACCTGAGGACACATAAAACACAGTTAGGACTCACAAAAACACATTTGAAAGCACACGCTGCTGTCAAGCTCTTGATCAAACCCTGAGGCTGCACCTGTGGTCGGAGGGCAGGAATACTAAAGAGGTGCATGTCCCCGAGGTTGGTCAGACAGACGAGTGTGTGTTCGCTGTAATCCTCCTGAGCTGTGGAGCTGAAGACCACCATGGCAACCTTCCTCACCCGACAGCCTTCATGTGCAGTCAGCTTAAACTTAGTCTTAGCGCTGACTTTGGGAAGAGAGAACACCTGGAATTAAGCAGAGGAGGAAGAAAGGTACGATTTAAAACGATATACGAGTAACAGACCGCGTTTTAAGCCCAGATCCATTACAAACTTAAAAAAGTGACAATAAAAATGTAAATACAGACTTTGTGATGTTGTTTCCAGACGATACCTTGAGCTGCTCCTCCGAAGCGATCAGGACAGAGTGAGCGTTGGTCATATCAGGCGCGATGGCGAGGTCTTGAGAGGCTTCGTACGGGTCTGGTAAAGGTTTCCCCCGACCGTCCAGCACGCAGATCGACACCACAGGCGCTCTGTGCATCAGCTGAATCTCTTTACCCAGCACTGCCTCCACGCACACACTGCTCTCACTCGCACCGCCACGCTCACACACTCGCCCCGAACCCACACCGGGCACCTCCAGAGCGTAGGCGTAGACACTGCCCGAGTTGGTGCCTGCCCATAGCGTGGGGCCGTGGTGTGTACCTAAGTAAGACCGAGCGTGTTGTTAGCGCGGCAGAAACGATAAACGACAACCTTCCTTAGCTCAATCCTGACATTTTCTCCAACAAACAAATGCAGTTCAAACAGTTTAAGAAAAAGTGAATGAAGTAAAGACAGAGTGGAAATATGTTGAAAAGTAAGTAAACGCACCATCACGTAGAAATGTGTCTGCAAAGCAGACACACCGGACCACTCCAGAGAGCGAGTCATCTGCTGACCGCGGCTCTATCCGCCTCTGCACCGGAGCTACTTCCTCCTGCTCTGCTAGAGCAGCATTTGCCTCTTGAACCTATACACACATACAGTACATAGTATAAATAGTATAAACAGTGTTCTTTTTGGACGGTTTACTCTCAGACACACAGTCTCTCACCTTGCTGGTGGGCGTAGTGATGGTGCGTTTCTTTCCTGAAACCCTGCTTTTGCGGATGCGTCTGAAGCTCTGTCGTAGGGACTTCTTCAAGGACTTGACTCTTGACAGGGGACCCTCCATTGCTAAGGAGTCATTAGGGTGTAAGGTACACCTAGGAGAGCATAAAGAGCACCAGAATGAATGTAAAGACAGCGGGAAAATGGGTTAAGCAGGGACTAAGTAGATCTTCATTATGCCAAAAATACCCGATAACCAAAGAATATAAATCACATGACTGTGTGCGCCTAACCTTGCCAGCACAGCATTTCGTCTGTGGTAGTCAAAAAGGCCAAATCCATGACTCGTCCCAAAGGCGATCAGGTTCCACTCGGCATGCAGTGCCACTGCCGTCACAGAGGCCGGGGGCAAGCACTGCACCACCACCAGCGGCTGAAAGCCCGGGGGGAAAGGTGCGGGTTTAGAGCGCGGTTCCAGCCTGTCGTGGCCCTTCCAGGTGAAGCCCTCCCTGTCGTACAGCAGATCAACCACTGACACGTCGACCAAGTGGTCCGAACGCTCATCACTCAGACCCAGCACGATCACCTAGAAACAGTACAGAAACACCGTGGCTCATTTTGGGTTGTTTTTTTTTTCTCAAGCAATTCAGTTTTGTTTACATATCCCCAATTCACAATAATAAAAAGAAATAAACCAACAATCACACAAGGCCCTATAAGCAAACACTTGGAAAATGACTAAAATTAGATTTCAGTTTTTCTTAATGTTGGTTTTATTTTTTTTAATAACTTGTGACAGTGTGTTTTGATCTTCACCTGTCCGGCGGTTCCGGCCACCACCAGCTTGTTGCTGTACTTGCACAGACTTATCTTCTGGATGCCAAGCCTGGGGTCGTCACTGTAGGGGTCAAAACAGCCCACCTAAACACACACACATTGGATTTAATTCATTTGAATATAAAACCACTTTCTTGTAAGTTGTTAACATTAAACCATTTTGAATACTGTGCCTTTCTAGATGATCAAAGCAAAACTGAACTATGCAGTGAGTGACACTAAGCCACGCAAAGTTACACTGAAGATTACTTCCCACACACTTCAAGTTCATCATAAATATCCCCATGGAAAAGTGCTAGGTAGTGAGCTGCAAATCAGTTAATGAAATGTACCTATGTCAGAAATTATCTTATAAACTCTACCTGACTTCACAAGCAGACCTTTTTTGGAAACTTGTAAAAACTGCATCATCAGTGTAAAACATTTTGTCTTAATGGCCCAATTACAAATTTAGTTTAATGCCAAAATGCCCTCCTGATGGTTTCCTCCTCCTTTAAAGGCCTCTCTCCTCTTACTATGAACCAAATGCCAGGACAGTCCCTACTTTACCCTGACAGTCTCTGCAAATGCGCATTAATCTGTCCGTCACACACGCACACAGTAGGAATCCCTCTCACATTGGAGTTTTGTCTTAGCAAAACAAGGAGTAAGAGAAGCTTGTCACACACACACACAGCAGAAAGAGTGGGATGATGGGTCTGGTTTTCATTACAGAGGAGAAAAAAGGGAAAGGCTCTTCATCCCATATGAGGGCCACATTCCTGAACATGCAGCTCTGTTACCACAGGATACACGAGGAGATGTGTTTGTAAGGCAGTTAAAGAGCGAAGAGGAAGAAAAGAAGTGAGCAGAAGGAACTTGCCATTCTGTCTATCTGCATGTACAAATACTTCATCTATTTTCTACTGGTGTGATGCCTCTATTTTTTTTCTCCATTCATATCAAACCCCAGATATAATGTGCTCTTATCCTGATCACATGCCCAAGCACTGAGAAACATTTCTGACTGTAGAAACCGTTTCTTTAAAATCTCCCGTCTCCGTTTCCTGACTAATGAAGCCAAACAGCTCAGCTAGATTCCCCTTGACACAAAATTCTGCCTCCAGACTGTGAATCACTTCATTTGAATGTATTTCTGCACAGAAAACTGTCCATTAAACCAGAAACAGACTGCGGTTTACGCTGGAGTCGAGTTTTAATAAGAGGAACAATGGGGTGGGTCAGTCTCAAATCCAAACACATGAAAACAATCAGAAAATTAGGGCCACAGATGCAGCATTACAGGGCTGCATGTGTGCGAAAGACAGATTGCTTTTATTCCCTCAGCTTGTAAAACCAGACCCTGTGTCTGAACTCTGAGGAGAGACTTATATTTATGTCCATTTCACCTCCTTTCGTGAAAAGCCTCATTGCTTCTCACCTTCCTGAACGGAGGCCATTCTTCCTCCTCTTGCTGCATATCGGGGTCGTTGCTGGGGTCCTGCGGGTCATCGCTAGGGTCGCAGTCGGTGTGGAAGACGTTGGCTGTGCTGAGTTTGTACAGCGGAGTGAGGGCGACACCCGAAGCATCCCAGAATCGCACCGTGCCATCCTCATGGCTGTAATCACAACAGATTTAAAATAAATAACAATCACAGAAAATTCAACAACTGCTCCCTTTAACAGCCATCTATAACAGCTAGTGACCAGTTTAAACTATTAGTCTAGTATGTCCAGCTAGTCAGGTGCCATGTTCAAAGTGATGTTGGTGCATCAAGACAGCAATAAAAAGGCAATAAGATAGCAGATTCACCTGATTCCATCAGTTTATGACTGAATGGGATCACGTGATAATGTGGCGATTGACTGGGAAAAACTGGCATAGAAATGACTACATAAGTTGCCGTGTTCATACAGAGACAATCAAATCATGGGTCAGTCACACTGCAGTAAAAATTAGATGGCAACCTCTTTATCACTAGTGAAAAAAATAAAATAAAATAAAAAAATAAAAATCAGTGTCTGCTCAATGACTGAATTTGTTCCACTTTTACTGGCTGGATACGTAGTTGCTACTTTTCAGGTTGCCTGCTATGGCAGTTGAAGCACTCGTGGTCTGAAGTGAATCGATTGGAATCACTCTCAGACTGACTGGCAAAAGTTTGCAAATAATCACCATCTAATTTATAAATGCAGACAGACTGCCAACACATTGCAATCAGTCAGAGAAAATCCTCCACACGTAGTGATACAGTTGTTGCAGAATAACACAAGCACTCAGTAACTTGCTTTTATATATGAACATAACCAAAATACAACCAGCTGGCAACTGGCTGAGTCGAGTACCCTGCAGCAAAGCAGCGCAGCCCAGACGAGTTGCGCTCATTAATGCACAATCAAATTGATCGCAACATGTTGGCAATCCTTCCGTGCTTGTAAATTGGTCAGCATTTATTTGATTGCCTTCACCGAACTGTATGAGAGTGACTGCAGTCAGTCCCAGTCAGAGCATGATGGTTTGCAGACATGTTATTTCTCAACGACCTGTGCAACCACATTGCAATCCAAAAAAGTTACCCAGAGGTTGAGAGTGTTGCAAGCTCAACCTCTGCGTGACCAGCTGGTCACTATGCTAAACAAACTTGTAAGTAATAATTTCCTTTTTAATTCTGAATTTTAGGTCGCTATATAAAATGTTTAATAGATACACTAACCAATTTATCCACTACCCACTTCAACAGTTAGTTATACTCTTAGCTAGCTATTCAAACCTGTCACTTTCTGACCATCAAGTTTTTAAAATCATATAAGTGTTTATCTGCTGCAATCCATTGCTTTTAGTTAACTCATCTTTGGTGATGGAAACAAGTTCCTGTACTTTAAACAATGGAGAGAAACACAAAGGACAAAGAAAGAGAAAAACAAGGATAACATCAGTCAGTTTGTTGCTAACAAAACTAACAGCGGCATCAAAATTCTCCTCCTGCTTTCACGCTATTCTCAGTTTTCAAATTGTCTTTAAACCACTTCTATTACATAACTCTTTTTATTGCACTTTAGGCCAATGCAAGCTCTGCCAAGTGGCAACACCAACAGTTTCACGGGATTTCCCCTTCACCATTTTTTTGAATGCAGGATATCCTTTCTTCACGCTGCTTTTAGTGACCTAATCTTACTAGAAAGCATCAGATTTACGTTATGGGAAAAAACAAGAGACCTGAATTCACTTGCAGGGTAGACATGTGCAAAGAGTGTGTGTGTGTGTGTGCGTGTGTAAATACCCTGTCAATAGCAGTTCTTGTTGTTTAGGTGGAGGTGCCAGATTTTTCCCCCCACATATCGGCCAGCTCTGTACAAACAAACAATAAATAAATAATCATTCTGAACCAAGCTAGGACTCATCATTTTTCACATCAACATATTTTCTCATGAACTCGTCTTAAAAGTTAGAGCAGAAAAATGTACCACAGAGATTCACACTCTGATAAAGGATCTGCCAATCTGATTTGGCCTCACATAGACAAACAAAGAGCCATGATGAAGAGCGTAACAGCTGTGTGTCCGTGTGTGTTGCTAATCTCCCACTGATCGCACAACTGATCTAAGCCACAGAGCTTTTGAAAAGCCTTTAACTGTCTACACCTGCTCTTAAAGCTCACACACTACCAGTGGCTCATGGTTACATTCCTGATTGTTTCCTCTTCTCATTGCTGGGCTGAGAGCCTGCGACTTATTACTTCCATTTACATGCAAATAGCCTCCTCTGATCAATTTACAACTGTTCTTGCCTTTGAGATTTGAAACAAGCAATTTTAATATAAATCCAAGTAAAACGTCAGCTGATGGGTCAGACTTTGTCTAAGGTGTTTTCAGGTTAAGCCTCTTATGAGGATCTCGGATTTCCTGCAACTGAATATCCCGTACTGCCATGTATAAACCAATTTGCTAAATAATCCTGTCATTCACAGTGCCAATGAGCTTCTTACCCTGTGTGTGTGCTGCCGGCTTTGCTGTGCTTTGCCAGCGTTGACCAGCCTCTCCCAGAGTTTAGGAGGGACGCTGGAGATGTGGCAGGAGCAGGTGATGGCTGACGAGTGAAGAGGAGCAAGATAGGGAGTGGGCATAGAGGGCCATCCAGGGGTCTGGAGGTCAATTACAACCAGTTCTTCTTCTAGTAACACCACTACAGCAGATGGCTCATCAAACTCTATAAGAAGAAAAGATCACACAGGGGATAAAGGATTGATACTCGTGAAAATGTTACCTTTACATACACCATCTTTAACACAGGTCAGATTCTGACCTCTCTCTTGCTCCACACTGTGGACGGTGAAGAAATCAATCACTCGAGATGTGAAATCGAGGGTGACGTGATCTTTGTCCTGTTGGATCGTTAGACAGTGGCGGTCACCATAACTGGCTCTGGGCATCCCTCCACTGTATAAAAGCACTGGAGAACTACAGTGAGAAACACAGATTAGCTACTTTTCTACCTCACAATTTTTTTTCTATTTTCACTCTGCATCACTGCATTCTTTTACATTAACTTGCAAACAAAAAGTTAACTTCTCTCTTTATTATGTTTTAATACTATTTTTCTCACCACAGATAATAGTTACATGATGTGGTAAATTATACCTTTTAGATTTACAAAACTAGGAAAATAATCAGCAATTGCATAAATATAGGGATGCAAAAGAAAAGACCAATAAAAATAAAATGAAAATGAATCTGAGAAAACAGTCATAAGTGAAAATTCGCCAGCGCTGATTCCAAATGACCTGTTTGATAGAAGGACTCAAACACACTTTAACAGGAAGGTTGCAAAACGAGGTTTAACACTCACCCTGCTTGTGTTGTCCTCCAAAGGATTTTGCTGATGGCTTTACAGGGAAATGGACCTGTGATAGATAATTACAAAAGAAAGAAGAAAAAGAAGACTATTAAAAGCTACCAGAGATCCTTTTTAGTCCAAGAGAGGGCAAATGAAAGGGGCCGTCTGTTAGACAGCACTCAGGGTACTCCACGGGAATATTAAATAATTTACAGCCAACACAGACAGAAACCGTGTGCGCACTAGTAGTGGTCTGTTCTTAACATAGTATCAAATCTTAAGCAGCAAAACCATTACAGAATCCACCACAACTCGAGGAAGCTGTAACACTTTCCAGGAAGGGTTCTTCTGAGTTCATAACTGTAAGAGAAGTACGAGTTCAGCATTCACACCCAAAGTAATTTAGGTGCGAAGTTCTCTCAGGTTCTCTTTAAAGTGAAGTTTTAGTCCATTTTATTTCAATGCTTCTGTTACTACAGGGAAAAAAAGGGTAAGCATGAAAAGTCTCTATATGGTTTGTGGCTCTTCATCTATTCTCTACACGTCTGCAGCGTGGTAGAGAGAATTAACTAAGATGCAGAACAGAGTTTTATCACGTTAGAGCTCATTACTGAACAAAAGTTAAATGCTTTAGAAATGTTTATGATCGTGAAAGAAATGTAAAATGACAGGTAAAAAGATTCTGAAAACAATTTGCATGACTGGGAAAAATGCATCTAACACAGCCTGTGTGTGGAGCCACAGCGAGCTCTCAGCTGAAGCACTTATTCTCATCACTGTGGAGTCAACTGTCCGTCACTGGTTCCACTCTGTCCTCCAGACCTGAGAATGTTTCACTCCTACACTTGAAATGCAAAAGTGGTGGATTGTGTGACATGTGATGTATGCATTTCTCACCGTAGGGGATAGTGGAGGACACTGGCTGGTGATTGCAGGTGTTGCCACTGGTAACAGCCCAAACTGAATAGCCTCCATCGTTATGGGAACAGACAAATAAGTTTCCAGAGCGTTCCCATACCAGACTCTCCAGTTGCTGGGGGAAGGGTCATAGACACAAATACACACAGTCATCACTGCAGGTCATCTAGCTATAACATCACCCTGAAAACTGGGAGCAAGAACAATGAGCACCAACTGTAACAGGTACCTGTTTGCCCAGGAAGAGCTGCTCAGCGTGACGAATGCTCAGATCCCACAGGACCACCAGGCCTCGGCTGTAGCCAATCAGAATCTTCCCTGACTGTTGAGGGTGTTCCTGAAGAGCTTCCACCGGCCCCAGAGATTTCCCACATCTGTAGTCATCTGGCAGACTGGGAAAATGAAAACAAACATTATCCATTATCCCACATCTGTAGCTTCCCGCTCTACTGTGATCCACACGGCTGTAAATTACATTTATCTACACATCCTGACGAGTTCAGACATCTGTCTGATGAAACAATTATCCAATGACACGAGAGATACCAGAGGACAGAGTCACCTGGTTCCATGCGAGAGAAATTCTGTGTTTTGGTTACACTGTACAGACACAGTAAACAGCTGAGTTTGAAAAACAAAACAACAACAACTACATCCTCAAACTGGTTTAGTGTTTGTTATCATCTGAAATTATGGTGTGTGGAGGGAGAGGGTAAATAATGCAGTACACATACGGCGCAACAGAGTTTCGGAAACAGTGCAAGGAGATTATACAAAATGTTGAAGTCACTGCAGCAAATACACAAAGCTGTTCTTTGCACCGAAACACCCCAAAGCAAAAGTGCTAAAACATGTATAATCAGCACAGAGCAAAGACCCAAGTTGCTGAAGTTTGAGAACAAGACATTCCTCTGAGCCAGAGCAGGAATGTAGAGCAGGACACACCCTTGAGATGTCAGAGGATTCCCTCAGCGAAGGAAGAAGAAAGGAGACGAAACAGCCAAGACAGAGAGAGAAAATGAAGTGATAAAGAAAGAAAGTACTGCAGCTTTATGGACTTTAATGCAGATGAAACAAGGATCAATGAACAGCAGCGCCGGGTGAAGCGTACACACACACACACACACATATATAACTTCTGTCTGCTGTTGTAGGCTTCACTGAGGAAGATCCTCTCCGGAAGCACAGCGGCAGAAACATTCCCAACAAAGCATTCCATTGTCTCTGTCGCCCTGTTCATAAGTATTTTTAGGGAATCCAGCATCCTGCCATAGAGTCCTAGAGATGATCCTGTGTACGCTTGTGTGTGTGTGTGTGTGTGTTGAAACACTTCTCCAACCGGAATACTGTGTTTTGGCATTTGGTACAAAGCTTTACTGTCTAAAACCTCCCCTCCTTTGCGCACAAACACACTCTCACACACACACACACACACACACACGTGCACGCACGCACGCACGCACGCCTGCCTTATCAGCGCCCTCGTTAGGCTTCAGTTCTGCTTACTTCCCTCGACAAGCCTGGTTAATGAGGGGTTTGGCCAAGCAGTCACACAGTCACAGCAGAATGAAAAAGAAACAACAGTAGTACTGATACACAGCCAGTGTGGCAGCACAGCAAAGCTCAAGCACGAACCACAAAGTAGTCTGTGGTATGTAGGGAGGCAAAAAAAATCACGTTTGTTTTCTGTCAGATATCATACAACATTCTGCATTTCCTTTCTTCTATGATAACAATTGAATTCCTTTACGTGCGTGATGATCGGTGTTTGTGCTCCACTCTCACTGTGTTTTGTTCTAGTTCACTGCTGAGCTCTCACATCACTGCTTGCCACAGTGAGGCTCCACCATCATTAAGGGGGAGGGGGTAAAAACACCTTACAAATAACAGCCCTGAAGTAACATAGCCGTCTTTCAGGTGTCTATATATCTAGTTAACACTGCTTTGTTAGCAAGTTCCTTTGCAGCCTTTACAACTGATATCATGGTGCAACCCCCAGTCTGAAACAAGGCGTTTTTAGCTTTTCTTTAAGGCCACCCTTCCTCTAAACCTTTCTAATTCTAATGGTTGGCTGCTATTAGCATAGAGAAGGTTTTCATCAGCAGGTGGTTGGAGCTACTGTGCTCACGGCCACAGCCTGAGAGGACCAATATTAACGTTATTCCCCTCACTCTGATATCTTAGACAAAAGAGAAGAAAAAAAAACCCCACAAAAATGAGGCTCAACTTTGGCCATATTTAATACCACTGTAATAATATTATATTATATAAACCACTGTCATAATATGGCAGAAAATGAAGAATTAAAGCTGAAAACCCTCACACATAATTAAAGAAGGTTTTATAATCTGCACTGGTTTAAAACAAACAAACAAAAAATCCAATATGTGACATTACCTTTGTTCAAATCAACTCTACACACACAAACCTCCTATGTGAAAACAAAAGCGCTGAAGGGAAAAAACACACGTACATTTTTAATAAGCTTCACAGAACATGTCTGTTAAAAAACTGTGCAAGTGAGTTACCGGAACAAAGCCAAAATTAGGTAATAGGCTGCTTTGTTAGGTCAACTTTACTGTCATGACTGATTTGATCATTTTATTCTGCAAGTAAAAGCAGCCATATCTTCATTTTTAGTGCTCCTCACTCACACTACGGTGTGTAATTATTTTTGACTTGTCGTTTTTTGTTGTTTTTTTTAAAAGCTAAATAAATTAATATATAAAACATCTGACAGCATTTAATGGAGCCTGAACCCAGTGAACCTGACCTGCCTGCTGCTGCTAGGGTCAGTGGGGATATTTGTATCTGCATGTGTGTGAGCTGCTCAGCTGGAGCTGTGAGTGGAGGAAGCTGAAGTGTTTAATGTTTACAGGAACGCTCACTGTGATGGAGGACGGAGAAGAGTGGAGAACAAGGATGGTGAAGAAAAGTCAAAAGATTTAAGCATGTGAAGCTATTTACAAGGATAATTTGATATTCTCTAATAAATATCTGCAAAATAAAAAATATAACCCTTCCACATGTGTTGACAGTTAGACAATAAGGCTATGTATTCCATTCCAATATCAGCTTAGCTGCTGTATCCACCAGATCCTTTTGTTTAACAGTGTAAGTTAACGAAAAAGACACAGATTTATTGCTTGATCTGTACTTGGGTTGTCTCTTTGTTCATGTTTTTTTGTATTACGGTAATTCCTTTTGTGTAACAATCTCACCTGTGTGTGATCTGATCCTGGAGCAGTGTCTGGTTATCTTTCAGCGAGAGGCTGGGCACCTCTAGGAAGTAGACGCCTCCTCCCTCTGTTCCAACGCAGAGGAGGTCACATGACTTCAGCAAGAGGAGGACAGTCACCCGAGTGGCACTGAGAGAAAGGAAATTAGGAAAATTTATGATACTCAAAATTCTAACAGGCACAACCAACAACAAGTTGGGGTGTGAAAGAAGGCGAGACATGATTACAGACTTTCAAAAGATCCCAATTTTCATTCAGCTTTCTGTAAAGAGGACTCTTGTGTACCTGCAGCTCTCGATGCCAGGTCTGCCGGGCAGACTGTAGGTGTTCACTTCCTGTAGAGAAACCACGCCCTCTTTCTTAACCCCACCGACCTCTCTCAGGGGTCCGGCCACCAGCTCCCACAGGTGGATTGTGTTGTCATCCAACAGTGACAGCAGACGACCCTTGGGAGAAAAGAATTAATATATGATGTGTGCCATGACTCACTGCCGAAACCTTAACTTAATTTTTAATGTTTTGGAGGTTTTTTTGTTTTTTTTTTAACATTTTTAAACATTCAGGAGAAAATTGAGCTCACCTGTCCAGGCAGGAAGTGGATTTGTGTGACAGCAGTGGTGTCATTGTGCAGACCTGTGAACTCCACACCAGGCGCCCCATAGCTGCAGGTATCCCGTTAAAGAAATACACAACTTGGCATTCAGACATTTAGACTGGCATGAGCAGTGGGCTAAAGTTAAGATATCACAAAGCAGCATACTTATTGTCTAGAGCTACAGACACGGAGGGGAAAAAACAAAGATTGGAAGGAGGGAATCTCTGTTCTTCTGTATAATTTGTGTCCACTACCCCCTTTAAAGAGAAGATTCACTGCAAATCAATAAATGTTTGGAACAATGGTCCTTCATCCCTCCAGAGACGTGCACTGAGGCTGTTCTGGCTGCACACCTTACCAAGACACTTCATATACTACAAGTTTCCACCTTAATCCAAACTAAACTTTCTGCTTCCACCAGTCAGTAAAGTTGCAGTTTACCTCTTTGTCATTCCAGGCTTGGCTTTTTCCATGTATAATGTTTTCTTTTAGACCAGGAGTGTCAAACATATTGCCAGGGGGTCCCGGCTGCTCCCTGGTCTTTCAAAAATATGGTCATTTCAAACGGAGGAGGATAAAATTTGAACCTTTAACTGCAATTTCATCAGTGTTACAATCATCTTGCTGACAAAGACATAACCCATGGCGTGTCATTGCATAAAAGACAAATTGTCATCATTTTATTTTTCGTGTTCAAACTCATAGAAAATCAGAAAAGTACATTTTTTCAGTATCCTGAGATATCACATTATAGAGAAGATGCCTCTGGCCACAGCTGGTGCAGCAAGACATAATATAATTTCTGCAGGCAAAAAACTTGCATGAATTATTAGACACTGAGTGGTCTCAGCAGAGAGACGGGCAAAAGCACATTTTATTTTTTAAGTCAATGGCTAGTTATACACAAGAAGAACACTCCTAAAACAAAGCTTGAGAGGTTTAAAAACATAAACCTGGATATATCTGCCTCTCTGTCACATGCCCAAATTAACATTCCTGTTTAAAATATCATTCTTTTACTCCTTCCCATTTCCCTGCACATCAGTATAACACTGTGCACCAAGCGTGGCGCCAACTCTGCCAGGGCAAGCAATTAGACTCCCATCATGGTTTAAAAATATGCATGACTGGTACGGAACACCAGTGCTGTTAAAAGCAGATAACCAAACTGTGGATATTTTTAGTTTTTCAGAAAGGTCACGAGATAGAGGGGACCATAACATAGTCGTCTGTGTCCTCCTGTCTGTTTAGATGCATATGTTCTGTAACAAAATTCAGCGTCCTCAGATACTACAAGACAACGTGAATACACAAAACAATCACGGCACAAAAAAAAAAAAAAAGATGCACGTACACACCAGCAGGCAGAGGGGAGTACCTTAAAGTATCTCACTTTATTTAAAAAAACAAACAAACAAACAAACAAACAAAACTAGTGAGTAAGAGGACAGAGTGCTATAATTCTGAGCTGTAAACTAGACGCACACAGTTTAGGTGTAATAGAGGGGTGGAATTAGAACACTATAACAAAGCTCATAGCAATTATCAAAACCAGATGACGCAGATGCCTGAAACCACCACTGTGTACATATATGTACGTCTGAGCGTGTGTGTAATCAGCGGCAATCTCCGCAGTCACCCCTTTGTTAGCCCAGGAAATGAAGCCGAGCTGATAAAATAAAGATTACTCTCAAGATCTGTGACGACAACTGCACTAAATAGGACTAAATTGTGAGTTAGTGCGCATACACACACACACTCCTCACTAGAAGCTGCACACATATACACACACACGTGGTGCTTGGAAGCAATATCGACACACTTCAGCACACTGCTTACATAAGCCTGTAGGAATGTGGATTAAAAATGCAGAAAAATAAGAGGAAATCTGGGGAGTGCATGTTTGTATTCTACTGTGTGCACAGCGGGTTTTCTACAATCCTGTTTTATCTGAGGAAAAAGAAAAGATCAATATTATAATTACATTAATTTATACGGTTTTTTCCCCTCACTTCCTATTCCCAGGACTCCAAATCCCCATAGTCAGGAATTTGTTAAGAAAGTCACAGATATTTGATCATCATCATTCTCACTGCTTTACTGCTCTACTGTCAGACGAGGGGGTGCAAAAAACAAACAAAACAAAAACAAAAAAAAATCCTCCTACAGCTTTCATAACTGTAAGTTCCATCCTCTTGTTTATGGAAGCTGTCTTCTTCCATCAGGAAGAACTTAAATCCCTCTTTTTCATTCCCTCACGACGCCGATCCCCTGGAGACCAAGCTGGGTGTTATACTGGCATTCCTGAGTGCTGTCACTTCCTGTCCCTGTGTTTTATACACGGCAGTAACAAGTCTCAGACAGCTGGAGGTGGAGGTGTGAGGAGGGCTTTCATTTGTGGGTCATGAACTGCCAGTGCAGATTTTTTTTTTTTTTTTAAGCCAAAGCTGTGAGTCAATTTGTGCGTGGCACAACAGCATGTGTGCTAAAATATTAAAAGGACTGAATTGCTGCATTACAACATCTATGTTAAAAGCAGATTCAATGAGCAGAGTAGGCATCACAATCTAAAGAGGAGCAATAATGGCAAAAAGGTACAGAACCGCATTACCGCCAATGGGGAGAGGAAAAAAAAATAATAACTTGAAATTTAAAGTTAGCTCTCCCAATCAGGAAGGTCTATGAAGATATGTCATCTCCTTGTCATCTGGAAGCAGGTAACAAGGAGGTGGCTGACAGTATTCGCTGCCCAAAAGTTTGACATGAACACACTCATCCTGGTCTTTGTTCATGTTCACTGGTAGCTCTCTGATGCTTTTGAGTGTGCATGCTGCTCCATCTGCTTTCCTTTGTGAAGCTTCTGGATTGAATTTTGTGTTAGCTCTGTCAAACTTACTAAATTAAACTTCTGAGATACCCAAATTTTAAGTTATGGATGGCATTTTGTTCCCCTCCAGCAGCAGAAATAAGCTTCCACAGAAAGGTAAGAGTTAAATTACCGAGGGACAAATTAAAAGTGGTCTGTTGTAACTTAAAGGTAAAAGTGAAAAAGCCGACAGGAGAATAAGTGAACGGAGAAAAATCACAGCTGTGTGGGAAAGATGAGAGGGACTGAAAAACAGACAGACAGCAGCGGTTTGTGCATATATTCCAGCTATGTCATGGTGACCACAGCTCATTCATCACAAATCTCGCAGCTCCCACACATTTAGGTTGGCTACGCAAAAACGAGTGCAAAGAAAGCTGTCAGCACATTGAGGGGGAAAAAAAAAAAAAAAAAAAAAAAGACCACTAATATTTAGGACTCTGTCAGAGACTTGACTTTTGGCTGGTCTGTAGCAGCTCAGACAGAAACCAGCCCAACACCACATAACCAGGAATAAAAACGTTTATCAATCAGGAGCTGTTAGAAAAATTAATAAGTAAAAATGTGTACACACACACACACACACACACACACTTCCTGCTCCTGGTGTGTCAGCAGACAGCTGGTAGAGGGATTCCCAGGGATGATGTCACCCTGTTGCTTTGACCTCATTAAAAGTTTATGTGCATGTCTGAATTAAGCTCCGTCCCCCAAGAGGTCTGCTCATTGGCCAATAATACAAGCCCCCAAAAGCTGTGGGGTCATAATAAGTGAGTAAATGTGTCACCCTTCCTGCCTCTACAACTATGTGCCTGTGCTCACAGCTTTGTCATCTTCATTCCAGTAAACTCTGATTAATGACGAAACTTAAAATAAACATTAAGAAGTTATAGCATAAGAGTCTACAGGCATGGTGGCACCTCTGAGTACTAGCCAAAAGCTAACAGGCTCACAATTTCTGATGTCTAGCAGGTATAATGTTCACCATGATCATAGTCTTACTTTAGCCTGTTAACATGCAAATGTTTGTCAAGAAGCACAAACCACAAGTGTGACTAAGGCTGATGGGAATGTCGTTAGATTATTATTCAGAAGAGCTGGACCATTAAAATGTTGAGAAATCGCACTTAAAAAAACAAAACAAAACAAAAAAACAAAAACAAAGCACTGACGGTAAAAACAAAAACAAAAAAACAGGTGAGCTGAAAAGAAAATATTAAAAACCTACATATGTTATTGATTTCAATAAAAGTTTCTTTAAAATGTGTTTGAATTCAATTTCCCCATCAACTCTAGTCCTGATCCCTTCAGAAGCATCAGGTAATTTGATATCCAATACCTTCATTTCCAGCAAGACAAAAGATAAAGCAATGCCAACAGGAATAAAGTGATCAGTGGGGAACTGATTAAACATTTATAGGAATAATGTACACACACACACACACACACACACACACACACACACACACACA